AATATATTTGAGAGCAAGTATGGAAATAATCTATCAACTTGCTTTTGGGGGGTTCCATTTTACAGTGTGAACAACTGTTCTAATGGTGCATGTTTATAACTGGATTAATGAGATTTAGCTGTTTCTAGTCAATTGCCACATGGTTGAGAAGATAATCCAATGTCTACAGTATATCACATGCATACTACATGAAGATGTAAGTAGAGGAATAAGGATTCAGAAAAGAAATAATTGCTTCCCATGGGAAGGATCAAGGAACACTTCACAGAGGAAATGGAATCTTTAGCCTTAAAGGAAAGGGATTCAATAGATGGAGTTCGTGGAGAGGTGCCTTGGTTGCATTAAAAGAGAAGGGCTGGGTTGTGGCTCAGAGGTAGAGCAAGCTTACCTAGCACACATGAGGCACTGGGTTTGATCCTCAGCACCACATAAAAATAAATAAATTAATAAAAGGCATTTTGTGCATCTACAGCTAAAAAAATTAATAAGAGTAGGAGAGAGAGAGGAAGAATGTGAACAAAAGCAAAAAGATAGAAAATGGTCTAGCATTGAAGGGAATCATAAATAGAAAATAGTATTATATGACAAAATCAAACAGTAGATAACCTTAAAGTCCAGGTCAGGCTGAATTTTAGGGAACTGGGAAACTAGACTTTAGGATGTTATACTATATACTAGTGACAAAATTGCAGTGATGTATTGAGAATGATTTTACAAGGAAGATCTTGACAGAAGTGTATAAATGGTAGAGTCTGAACTGAGATGGCAATTGAAATGAGATAGAAATACAAAGTTGGTTATTATTTCAAAGGAATTCTTCATAGGAGCCTTTCTGTGAAGGTAGCAGTAGTAGCAAAGAAGTTAAAGAAAACTGCAGTTTTGAGTTTGGATAGTTGAGAGGGTGGCAGTAAAATAAAAAAAAAAAAATCTGGAAAACAAATCTTACAGGTAAAGGATTAAGTACAATTTTGGACTTATTGCATTTGAAACAACAGTAAGACAAGTGAAACAAATTTTGGACATATGATACTGAGTTAAAAGTGATGATTTAAAACTTAGATTAGATGAGGTTACCAAAGGGTAAAATATGAATACAGAAGATGCAATGGCAAGCCAAACATTTTTTTTTTAGGGATTGGGAGGAGAAAATGGAACCGAGAACAGATGAACTGTCAGAGGCGGATAACCAACAGTGGGGTTTTCTCTAAGTAGAAAGCAGGATACCTTGATCCCAGGGCTTCCTCCTAAGTTTAGGAAGAATTTAGTGTTTCATTATTAAGTATGATGCTATCTATAGGCCTTTTATAGGTACTCTTTATAAGGTAGGGGACAGACCTATTGCTAGATTACTGAGAGATTTGTGCCACATGTCAATGTTTTCAAATGTTTTTTTTTTCTCTGCATTTATGGAGATTATCATATGATTTTCTTTTTTAGACTTTTGATATGATGAATTTGTGTGATTGATTTTCTAATGTTTAAATAACTCTGCACTCATGATATATTACCCCTTTTCAATGTTGTTGGATTCTGTCTGCTAATAGATACCTTTATTGCTTTTTTAAGAAAATCTGCATCTAGGTCCAATGAGAGATATCAATCTATAATTTCTTTTTTGTAACATCTTTTGCTTTGGTGTTAGGATAATGCTGGAGTAAAAATAATGACTTGGGACATACTCCCTCTTCTTTTATTTTCTGGAAAAGTTTGTGAGGGATTGGTATTTTCTGTTGCTCAAATATTTGGTAAAATTCCAGGTGAATGCATCTTGGCCTACAATTTTCTTGTAGTAAGGTCTTTACCTATTAGTAAGTTGTAGGGCTATTTACAGTATCTGTGTTTTTTGAGAGTTTTCTGGCTTGTGGCTTTCAAGGCATTTATTTCCCATCTGGATTATCCATTTAGTTTTTTGGCACCAAGTTATAGATATCATTGACCTTTGAATGTCTTAAAATCTGTTGTGATGTTTCTTCTTCATTTCATTTTGATTTGTTTTCTTTTTATTTCATACGTTTTATTTATTTATTTTTTCCTGCTTTATTTTAGATTGAGTAGGTTTTATGATTACATTAAGGATATTTCTAGGATAGAAAGAAGCCAGGGCAGGAGCTCTCATGTATCATAGCTAAAATTCTCTCACTAAGGTGAGATGTGAGATGTAAGCTCAGGGTGCACAAATGTTGGTTATCTTGTATGGAGAAGGTTTAGACTATTCGTTTTGGGAAGTCTCTTGATAAAACAAGATTAGCCTGTGGATTTCCAACTATTAATGAGGGCCCAAGCTGAAGTAAACCTGTGAATAAGTATACTATTGGATAACAAGGGTATAGTATGATCAAAACTGAAGATTGTGTCTCCAGAATATTCCCTAAAGTTTGAAAAATCAGAAAAAAATATGCTGCAATTACAGCAATGGTTAGGTTAATTCACATTTTTAGTTTTAATAAGATCCAACCATATTTCCCTCACTAAATTTGAAGATATTGCTCCTTTTAGACAATCACATTTTCATCAGGTGCTATAACTTTGAAATAGTTGTCAACTGTCTTTCAATATCAGGTGCTATTTGGTTTGCACAGGATAGATGAGCTCAAGGGATCACAGCAAAGTGAGTGAAGCTTCTCCCATTTCCCCATAGCTAAATTATCTGAAAAGCCATACAAAGGTAGAATAGCTGGAAGGAATTGATGGTGTTGAGTGGAAATAGAATGAATGGAAAATTGGCAAGCAAGCTAGAAATTTTGTGGAATTAATGGTTTTGGAAACAGACTAGGATAATTATTCTACTCTTTCAACTAATTACAATTTCTGTTGGATTCTCTTTGTTTGCAAAAGCTGTGATTGCATGAATAATGTAATGAAATCTGAGTTTAGTGTAAAGCACAGTTGGTCTAAATCTTTGTTCGTAAGCTTTGTTATTTCATTTTCCGTTGACAATGTATGAGATGCAAATGGGCCCATCTCAGTAACATACTAGTACTTCATTTAAATTGCTTTAACAGTTGCAGCCTGGTTCTCAGAGTAAAATTTTTGTCAAACCCCAAGTTTAGCTACATAAAGGTAACATTTTCTGTGAAACAAAATGAATGAAGCAAAAACAAAACAAAAAACCCTAATGTAGCTCTTTTCTCTATACAGAAAAAACAAACAGGAATAAAGCACCTATTCTATCCCAACAGTGTTGGCTACAGTGTAGTGAAGAAGGATACAACCTCTGGTCAGACTGCTAGCATTTGAATACTGCCTTTTCAGTGTCTCAGCTGTAGAATGCTGGACATGTTGCCTCTGGGTCCTTCTGCAAAATGGGAAAACAGTTTCATCTCATAGATTTCATATGGAAGTTAAATGAGTTAATACATGTAGTTTGCTTAAACAGGGCCAGGTATGTAGAACATAAGTTGTAGTTAATGTTACCAGGGTAAAGTAGTTTGGGGTTGACCATATTAAAGAATTTGTAGACCTCAGATGTTAAATTTATCCACACTTGATAGTTATCATAAAAAGGTGCTAGGAATAAAAGAGCCAAATACCATCCATTTAAGAGTGACTTTCATAGACATTTTAAAAAAAATTTAGAGTAAAAAAATTTACTAATTTTTTGAGATTTTAATGAATGAACTTTAAGTTTTTTTGAATAAAGTATTTTCTCAGTCAAGAACATTAATCAAGTCTTAAAGTAAATTTTAATAAAATTTAATAAAACTACTTATATTCAGCATGTACATTCTAGAAAATTTTCATTTTTTTTCCAAAAACAAGATATTTGGGGTACTAAGAAGTATAATTAAGGCAAGTTTTATGTGTTATAGTGGTGAATGTTAATAGCAGGATTGCTCTCAGCATAGTAAGCCAGTGGCAAAGAGCATAGGGAAATATTTTTTGGGGGAAAAAATAAACTATGTTGCCAAATAAGAAAGAAAATTAGTGTGGAATGGGAACTAACCATGGTAGGCACCCCTACTATATTTCATTGTTTTATAGCCCAAAATCTAGAAACAAATATCTATCACACATCCCCCACACACCCTACCCCCATTTTACTAATGTTAAAACCAGAGCTCTCAACGTTTGATTTCAGTAATTCTGTAAGGTTGTATGGAGACAGTAAGGGGTCAGATCCTAGTCATTGGATCTCAAAGCCCATGTTCTGACCATTGCCCTGTCTACCCCCCACCAAAAGTGGATTGTACACTACTGAGCAAGTTTAGTAAGGAAACTAAGGCTGATCCACAAAAACAAAACTTCCCTAGATTTCCCAATATCATGTAATTTAACTACTTTCATTGTTTTGCATATTTTCTCATTATTTTTCATTATAATAAGCATGCACCATTAAAACTCATTCTGAATCCTTCCCATGGGTCTCTTGGTTTTTATGGAAGGTGAAGGGATGCTTCACCAGGTGTGATATTGGAAAGTGTGGACCTTAGGGCTGCTTCTAAGGCTTTGATGCTAGCTCTTTTCGCTTTGGGGTAAGACATTAGTCCCCTTTTTCATTTGTACAATGAAGGGAAAATCCTCAGTGACCTGGAGTGTTCATTCTTTTTAAAAATTTTTATCTATTTATGTATTTATTTATTTGTTTTGGTACCAGGGATTGAACCAAGGGGCGCTTAATCACTGAGCCACACACCCAGCCTGTTTTATTTATTTATTTATTTCATTTGAGACAGAGTTTCACTAGGTTGCTTAAAGCCTCACTAACTTGCTGAGGCTGGCTTTGAACTTGCAAACCTCCTGCCTCAGCCTCCAGAGACTATGGGATCACAGGCATGTGTCACTGCGCCCCGCTCATTCTTTTTTTTTTTAATATTTTATGATATTGTAAATCTATTCTGCATTTTTCTGGAGGAAATTTCCAGGACTTATAAAATGGGTCTAGGTAAAAGACTTTGTACTAAGAAAACCCAGAATTGTGATTTTCAGGTTCTGGTAAATTCTCTGAAATTCTTTACACTCTATACTTAGACTATTCTTTTTTTTTTTAATATTTTCCACAGGATTATTTTACAAATGCAAATAAAGAGTTGAAAAAAGATACTCAGCAAGATTACCACCTGGAGTATGCCATGGAAAACAGTACACACACAATAATTGAATTTACCAGAGAACTGCAGACATGTGACCTAAATGACAAGAGCATAACGGTAAGGACAGTATGAGTGAATGCATGTTTGACTAAATTGTATATTTATACTTGTGAGACACTTTAAAGAATAAAAGAAATAAGTACTGAAGAATTGACAACAAAGTCATATGGGTTTTGGGACTATTTTTGAAAATCTCTTCAAAAGCTAAAAAACCTCTCCAATACTATAGATTTCAGTAAAGGTAGCTTTGCGTGATTTTAACATTTTGAAGAGCCCTTTAAAGTTTGTATAAGCTTACTTATAAATTCAACTTCTCTGTAAAATGTAAAAATTGTCAATAAAGTTTTGAATGTATTACTCAAGAAAGAATTATGAGTCCAAGTTCTAGAATATAATTCATCTGATTTATAACTGATTCATCTTTGTAAATTTCTAAAATCAAGATGAATAGTCAGCTAATTATAATCACCTGCTGACATATTATATGAGATTTCTTATTTTCAGCTTTCATGCAAAATTAATATCTTTATGCATACACAAATTAAATATTTGGAGGACGTGTAATTCATGTGGCACTTTGGAAATTTCCATGAACTGCTTGCATTAATTTCATTTTGCATAGAACAATAAAATTTTCTTTTTTATTCACTAAATTAGGATTTTAAAAAATGGGAATATAAAAAATCTGAAGTCGTTCTGATTAACTTTCAGCAGAGGAGTAAAAGAGGAAGAAAGCACACATGTAAAGAAGTGGATCACTTTTGTGTAATATACAGTGCAATTATACTTTAATTGGAAAAATAATTATAGTCATTTGACTTTTTAAGAAAGAATATAGCAAAGAGAACATTTAAAATGAATAGCTTTTGCTTTATTGTCTGTTTTCAAAGTTTTATTAAGGTTTGGCAAAACACCTTTTTCTGTGGGAGGAAGGACTGAACAGTTTCTCTGTACCTGATCAAACCTTTCCCACCCCACATCCCCCTGGGCAATCTCTCTTGGTGGTTCAGAAACCAGTTACACCTGATAGTATTTTCCCTAATTTGGTACCCCAGTCCCTTGGAAATTCCCAAGAGTCATAAAGTGACTATGGATTGCCTCTGTTATAAAAAACAAGTCCAGAATCAGAAATTCCTTCTGCATTTGCCCTTTCTGCTAATACATATGTATGACTGGAAAAAACCTATTGCAAAAGGAAAAATCTTCTGGTAATTTTAATTTTCATTCAATTTGAATTCTACCCCCGCCCCCCCCAAAAATGTTTCATCACATTAGGGCAGGTTTTAATTTTCCAAAGTTCCTGCTACACAGTGAGAACACTTGCTTTCTAACTACTGGCTGCTGATTTAGAATTTTGGCTTGACATTGATTCATGAAAAGTATAATCTGTTTGAGGACACATATCTTGTGTGCTGAGAATGATAATTCTTTCCCAAAAGTAATTCACCTATTTGGATCCTTAATGACTTAATCAAATTTATGAAATCAATGTTAAAGACCAGATTGACAACTGCAGCTGTCATTTTTCTCTTTATTTTTACATTTGGCTCTAAATGGAATTCTTTAAACTCAAATCAGGTGAGGAAAGTGCTTTTCTGCAAGGTAACATGCCATGTCTGATCATCAGGATAGCACGGTGAGAGTGATCTGGGCCTACCACCAGGAAGATGTGGGAGAAGCTGGCCCCAAGTACCATGATTCCAATCGAGGCACCAAGAGTCTGCGATTATTGAATCCTGAAAAAAACAGCATGCTGCCTACAGCCTTACCATACTTTGACCTAGTGAATCAGGACGTAAGTTTCTTTAGGTTTTATGACCATAAGAATGGTCTTACTTAAAGGGTATGTGAGAGTTTTGGCTTACATCACTGTATTTAAAATGACATGACAAACAGAATGTGACTCTGTGTCCCCCTCCCTTTTTATTAAGACAGGTCCCCATCCCAAACAAAGGTACAACGTATTGGTGCCAAATGTTTAAGATTCCTGTGTTCCAGGAAAAGCATCATGTGATTAAGGTACGTGACTACTTCAGGCTAAATTTAATTGGCACAGATGGAGAAATTTCTGACCTTAAAATAGAAACAGTAAAACATATAGAAGCAATTTTCAATTATATGAAAGTTATTTAGAAAACAAAGAACTGACTTGGCTATTCCACACACTGTTTCCAGAGTCTGAAAACTTGTAACAAGTATTTTGATTATTTACTAATATTATGTGTCAAAGCTGAAAGTTGGGGGATGCACTTGAGTTATTTCTTTAGGAAATACTCTTATAAGTAAAATTGCTAGGGTTGCAATTTAAAATAATATATTTACACACAGATAAATCCAATCCAGGAAGGTTATTTTCCCCATCAATGCTGTTTGAGACTCTGTTTCACTGAAAATACTAGATAGTATCATAAAAAAATTGTTGCAATAGTTTTTTTTTTGAAAATAGGAAAGAAATAAAATCTGTGAACTTCTATATAATTATAAAAATATAGAATTGGATAATACATAAGCTCAATTTTCCTGTGCTGTGAAATTTCCTCCCAGCCTTGTACTGGGCCTCCCACAACTTTTGCCTCTAGTTAGTGAATGAACAAGTGTTTAAAAGAAATTTACAGATCCTTGGCTCTGTATTAGTAGTTGTTGGCAGTTCCACAGAGGCTGAAGATTATGATCTATTCTCTCAAAGAACTTATCAGGAGATTGTAGAAAACATGGCCAAAACACAAGAAAGAATGAGATAGAATTAGGCAAGGCATACAGAGTATTGTAAATTTGCAGAAAGTCAGACATTACTGCTTTTCTGGCAGCCCCAGACCATTTTACGAAGCGATATGGCTGCAAGAAGTGAGCAAATGTTTACATTCTGGAATTTTGAGGGGACCACATGAATTTGAATTGCTGGTCCACTTTTTTATTAAACTGTGTGCTCTCAGGTAAATTATTCTATAGACTTGCCTTTAATATCTGTAAAAAGCAGACAGTCATAATATTATCCCTACCAACCTCAAACCCCTTTAGCAGAGATGAAAACATTGGAAACACTGAGCACATTCTACAAAGTGACTCGAATTTGTTAATATCTAATGTATTCGTTCATTGGACATATCTGCCTTTTGTTATCAAGAGGATTTACTACTTCACAGAGAGGTAAAAGGGGTGAGTTGAAGGAAAGTTCAAGTTGATATGTAGTCCTAAATACTTGTAGGATAATTTTGCCAAAGGAAGACTTGCCAACAGTGTGACCCTAGATTAATCATTTACCTCTGTGCAAAAAATTATTTTGTATTTCATGCATGTGATAGGTGAATGCAAATTCTTATCTTTTGTACTTTTTATGGTGCCTCAGTCCTTCCCTCATACAAGTGAAATGTCTTTCTATGAAAGTGTATGCATACACACACACTGTGTGTTAGTAAATTTGTTACTTGGCTTAAGGGACAAATGTAAAATTGTAGGTTCAGAAGTAAAACCCAGTGTTGTACAAAATAGATAATTTATTCTTTAATAAGCAAACAGTAATTGAGGGGATATAAAGACCTTAACCACTTCTTGTTGTTCTTAGCACTATTAACATAAACACTTGAGTAGAATTAAAAAAAAAATGAGTCTATAGTTAAGAAACACCAATCTGTTTCTACCCTCTATGTCAGATATTTGCTTGGTTCTTCATCCAGGAATTCTTAGCTAGAGTTTCTATCAAAATACTATGGGCCTAAAATTAAATATTCTTGAAACTATATTGCATTTGCATCAAGAGGGATTTTAGTGGCATGAAAGACATTGGAGCATTTTTGGCAATGTTTGGAAGTCAACCAAATACCAAAAGGTCTTTTCATTTAGCAAGAGGGCTTTGAGGGAGGGACAGCAGGTTGGAGAGGAGCATGCTTGCCAACTTCTGTCATTGTAGGGGCCAGAGCTTTTGTGGCCAGAATTTAAAATTTTGATATTACTTAGGAATATCACAGGATAAATTTCTGATTTTATTGTTAAGCTCTAAAACATCTTAAGGTTCATTGAATATTATGAAATGTTTTCTTCAAAAATGTATTTAAATAAGATGACATACAAAAAGAAGTTCTACTGGGAAAATAAATTTAAAATATTTAGGTTATATAGGTTGTTGTGAGACAGCTTTTCCAAAACCATTTTAATTTACAGTTTATGCCAGGTTACAATTAAATTTCAATACAAATTTGAAGTGAAATTTATAGGTCCAGATCTTCCCTTAAGACAACATCTAATACCCATTCTTTTTTTCCTAGTAGAGATGATTTGTAATAATTTAGCAAAAGTATATTATTTCATAGAATCAAAGACTTGTACATTTTTAAAAGCCATCCAGGGTGGTACTTCTCCTTATTCCTTATTTAATGCTCCACAAATCACTATATCAAAAAGCCTCAGTCCATCTCTGATTCAAAAAGTACTTTTACAGAACATTGCTTTTGTATTGTTTTCTTGGTATGTCATTTGCAGTGAGCTTTAAGAATATTGATTAAAGTAGTATTGTGAGAAATCAGTTTCACTGTCTGGACTCTAATTCAAACAAAGAAATAGTTCATATTTGCAGCTTCAGTGTTGATACTATACATTTTGTTGCTGTTATAACTATAGAACTAAATAGATAAAATATATCAGTAATTCAGTTATGGATGTGTTTAATGGGAATTACTAAATCTAAAAACATTTTTTACATTTTTTAATTTGAATTTTAGTCATGTAAAAATTATTTACTGCTAAAATTATGAAATAATAAGGTCAAAATTTTTTTAGGTCATTTTTTATTGGTAGATCATGATTGTACATAATAATGGGATTTATTATACATGTATATAACATAATTTGGTCAATTTCATTCCTCAGTACTTCCTCAAGTCAAACATTACTGAAGTTATTTAAAAAAATATTTGTGGGAAAAATGGGATTATAGTAAAATGGTGTTTCCAATTCATTTGTGATTCTGGTTTATTATTTTGTATTTTTAATTTATTTTTGTGTGTGTATGTGTAGTCCTAGAAATTGGAAATGGGACACTCTACTGAACAACATCTCCATCCCTTATTAATTTTTATTTTTAGACAGGGTCTTGATAATTTGACCAGGCTGGCCAGGAAATTGGAATCCTCCTGCCTTAACCTCCCAAGTTGCTGGGTTTACAAGTGTGTGCCACTGTGCCTGACTTTATTTTTGATTCTTGAAAATAATCTTTAAAATTATGACTTGAAGATGTGTGTATTGTTAGATGACAGCATGTCACACTTGCAGGTGGATATAGAAATTGTAGAAAAGAAATTTTTTTTTGGTAATTTATATTAAAACCACTCCTCATCTGAGGCAATCTCTGTGTCATGCTTGAGACTTACTGCTCAGCCCATCTCTCCCTGTGGCAGCAGGACTCTACCTTTCACAGACAGTGACCTGATCCTGAATCTAAAGTTTTAATGGAAGGTGATTCTCAGTAATGTTATTATTAAGACTAACAATAATGCTTGGATATGCTCAGTTAGAAGGTACAGGTATTTGGTTTAAAACTTTTTCTTTTAGGGACTTTTATTGACAGGGGATTCTCCTCATGGATAAACCACAACTCTGATTTATCTATTTAAAAATCATGTGTCTTTTTCAAATTAGTAAGTACTTGTTGACAGCCTACTATGTTAAATAGAAAAACAGTCTGGCAAAATCACCATTTCTGAGTCCTTTAAGGAGAAAGGTTGACCATTGCTGAGTTCTAAGGTAGGATTACTTTTACTAGTTATATTTTTACTAGTTATATGGCCTCTGACAAATTATTTATCTTTGTCTCAATTTTCTCATATGGAACTTGGGTAATAATGGTTTATACCTAATAGGGATTTTATGACTGCTAAGTAGATCAAATGATTTTAATATTTGTGAAGCATTTAGAACAGAGGTTGGCACATAGCATCTATTAAAGAAAATTATGCAGATCATTTGCAATACACAATTGCTAATCTGTTGATTATCTTGGTAAGTTTCTGGGTTGCCAAGGGATCCCCAATCAGTCCTTTCTAGACAGAGTTAAGAAACAAGGACTAGATTGTCAATAATTTTATATAGGGAGGTCACCTTGAAAACATTCTCCTTTGGAGAATATAAAATTGATGAAAATAAAACACTGTCCTAACTCTTTTCACCATCAATAGATGCAGAAAGGGAAATGCTATACTTTCTAACTTGCTACTGAACAGAATATCTTTCGTGACATGAAATTAGATACACTGCCATTCTCTTCTATTGGTGGCATTCATAAATCTCAATGATTCACTTCAGGGAATGTTTCCTAGGACAAGAAAATCTAAGAATAATTAACAGTAAGTAGCCATGGAATGTTCTTGAAGCCCGAGTATTGTATAGCTGTGAAATAGTTACTCAAAATTGATTTCCTATACTAGGCATGTAACATGAACATTTGGCTTTATGTACTACACTAAATGGATTCTGCTGCCATTTCCCTGTTGTGTTGACTCCGTTTTAAGAATAAAATACACTGTCAATTGGCGATTTTCATCATTTATGCATTTCAGAAATGTCAAGTGTGGTAGAGAGTTTCTATTTTTGAAAATGTGTGAGCTTTCTGGGTTAATTTTAAGTTGTGAGAATTTAAGCATTCTCAGTGTCAAACTACATAATTTTACAACTCTCAGAATTAGCTCATCTCTGACAGTGTGTCTTGTTCTCCACCCACCCCGAAATGGTATTTCAAAAATATATGTTAATTGGTGTAGGATTTTTTTACCTGATGGAACTAGTGTTTTGGTTTGTTCTCAGGATGCATTTCCACAGATTCTGTACTTTTGTTATCATTTTTTTAAAAGATGGACACAATGTCTTTACTTTATTTATTTTATTTATTCTTATGTGGTGCTGAGGATTGAACTCAGTGCCTCACATGTGAGAGGCAAGTGCTCTACCACAGAGCTATAACCCCAGCCATTTGTTCTTGCTCTTTTTTTTTTTAATGTGCTCATTTCTGTTTTATTTTATCATGTGGGAGA